GTGCTTAAATGCCAATGGTATATTTTAACTTACGAAGATCGATCTTCGACCTTTTTTTTTTTGCTTTATCATTATTTAATATAAATTCAAATTTTATCAAGTTCTTTAACTCTGAAACAAACATTATCCATGGACAGCTTCTTCCGAGTCCAAGTCTATGCTTGATTTTACTTTTGTAGATGCAAAATGTAAATATTGATATTACCTCATTGGTAATTTCATTGTACATACCAAGTACAATTTTACTCCACAGTATTTGGTAGAAAAACATGTTTCCAACAAAAAATAAAATTTTACCCAATATATTTCTATATTCTTGCATTTGAATAACATGTGTTCTTCATTTTCAGGTAATTTGCAGTAGTCGCATAAATTTGTAGCGGACAGATTCCATAAATTTAATCTGTTTTTAGTTGGAAGTATCATATGAATAAATCTAAAATTTAAATGTGCAATCTTTTTAAAGTGCATCATGGAATTCACCTTATTATTCCAACATGAATCCCAATCTATGGTACACATCTGTAGATTATTTTCCCATTTACTTTGCACTTTTGGTAGTTTAAATTTGGCTTCTATAAACGTTAAATAAAAGTCTTTAACTTTCTTTTGCTTTAAAATAGCATTATAATTAGTTTTACATTCATTTGGTTTATGTATTGTGGAAATAGGTTTATGTATTATGATATGTTTCCAATTTCGTGGTATTGCATCAATTAAAGCTACGTATTCAATTAACGCGTTGTGTTTTTTTGGATGATTTAGCTATGCTAAAGCAACAAATGCACCACGAATAATGCTTCATTCATTCATTTATTTATTAATTCAATTCATTTATTCATTCATCAATCACTTTCTTTCCTTTTTTCTTTCATTCATTCGCTCGTTTGTTCGTTCGTTCATTCATTCATTCATTTATGTAAAAAAATAAGTAACTGATGAACCAAAAAATGCAGGAATGCCCATAACAATGGACAAGTACAGAAGGTTACAGATATTCGGACAACAAAACGAATGCAAATGACAAAATAAAGAATAGAAATTGATTGTCATTAATTATTCAGATAAAGAATAAATACTAAGGGAAGCCAACTGAAAACGTTAATTCGTTGCCTTAAAAGGTTTTCTTGTACGCAGTCATATGAAGTGCTTTAAAAACAATGACAGGTTCTCTTTATATATTTTAGTTAAAATTGGCATAAAATGGGTTAGAATTGAATTATTTAAAAAAAAGTGAAAAAATTGTCCTGGCTCTTGTGGTCCAGCCTATGCTTCTATTCCAATATTTTCCTGCAGATAAGAAAAACAGTGCCACTGTAAAATAAGGTTTGGAGTGGAAGATGATCATATGAAACACATAATAATAATAATGATAATAATTGTCCTTTGTATAGCGCTTAACCAAAACAAATTTTCTCTAAGGCGCCATAAGCACAAGACTCGAACTAGGATACTACATTATTGTATGCTTTATGAAAGAGATGAGTTTTCAACAAATGTTTGAAGATGTCAATAGTTTACAGTAATGAATTCTGGAACTTACAAGAGTGTGAACAACAACTTTTATTGGTTCATCAGTCAACATTTTCCGAACAGGGTTTATTCTGAAAAGTTGGAATTAAGTTGGTTGTCTTTACAATGTGTGCAACTTGGGCAGACATAATCATACCAACTGTCAAACATTACTCCAAGATTTTTTAGTATGTTGTTACAGGCACATTATGACAAGCAACGTTTATTGAGCGTAGATCTTCGCTAACTGGGATCGGAAACTAAACGCCATTAGTTCTGACTTGTCAGAACTCAATTTAAGAAATTATGTGATATCCACCTCTGAATTCTGGATAAGCATTCTTCTATGATCGATATTGCTGGACAGACAGCAATCATCGATGTTGGGCAAATAGGTGTGTAAATCTATTTATCGTCAGCGTAAACGTAAGGAGCAAGGTAAAATTTTAGAGGCAATATATTGGGGTTGCCCGAAGTGGAGGTAGTCGGGCTTCGCTCAAAATGTCTTGAAAGTGGTCCCCCGAAAAATATGACAGTTTAAGGGTTTCAGCGACTTATTTAATCGATATAGATAGTCTACTAATATGTAGAAAATACATACCTTTTTTTCTCCCCAACGAATCGTTGTGTTTTTTCTTTTTTGGAGGAAAATTGGTGGGGAGAGGGGAGAAAATTATATGGGGGAAAATGTCTCCCCCCCCCCCGCTAGCACCGCTACTAGGTGTAAATAAAATTCATTTCTGTCAACGTTTCTTGGAAGCCCAAGGCATTTTCTGCGCCAGTAAAAGAAAATAAGAAGCACTAATTTGCAATTTCATTTAGAAGTACAGTATAGTACTGTTAGGTGCTTGTAAAATTTCAATTTTTCCATCTTATACGGAAGGCAAACATATGATAAAACGAACAATACAAGCCAATCAAAAATATTGTGACCAACATATAAGAAGGTGCATCTGGACTGACGTACATTTACACTATATTATATATACAGTAATAACTTTTATTCAAAAACCATATTTCCATTGAATACAATTTACTGTACAGTTTCTGTTTAAGTTCTGTGTATATACAATTAACAAAACAAAACTACAACAGAGCATAGGCTTACCACTTATTTCTATCTTTGCAATATCTCGTAAAACATTTAAATTTTCGGAATCATTTAACTTAAAATTTCTAGAGCTTAAATCGTTCCTAATTGAAGACAAAAGGTTGGTTTGATTTCTTCCAACTCGTCCTTTAATAATATTGCTAAAACAACTGCATAGAAGAATGATGAAAAAGATGGTGTGTTTTCATCCATTCGCAATCATGCCCAAATATTAACCATCTACAACGACAGACTCTTTCTGAGAGTGGGCTCGTTTTACAGACTGTATACAGACTTTCATTCAATATAATCCTTAGGTGTTTTTGTAATATGACAAGCATTTGATTTGTCAAACGCATGCTTTGGTGCTGACCAACTGCTGCAATTATACAATAATATAGATACTACTTAAGTATCATAAAGCAACAGTTAACAGTGAAATTTTCTTTTGGTCCACGTCCTCTTAAGGATATGGTTGAAATCTTTTTTCAGTCTGAATTTATCATCATTGATGTTTGGTTTGACAAATTTGAATTTCAGTTTTTACTCTTATGAACAGGTATTTCAATTATTCATCACGAAGATGCTGTGATAAGTTTTTGACGGTAATAATCTGAGGTTCAGCCAGGGTTCAGCTTGAATTAGGGCAATGAATGAATAGCTGTCTCTTATACACATCTAGATGTGTATAAGAGACAAACCTTAACTCCTGGTATAAGCTCACCTTCCGTGAACACAGAATTGGACTGATTTTGGTGGTGGGCTTTTTAATCGAAAGGTAATTTTTCAGCACTGCATGCCTAATTCAAAGCCAATATTAATTTTTTTTTTTTTAGTGTATTTGTAAAAGTCAGTTAAGCTGCTCATTTAAATCATACTCAGGCAGAGATCCCAATTCTCCCGAGAATTGCGGGTTTCTCCCGATTTTTTAGGCCGTCTCCCGCCCTCCCGATTTTTATTAATATCTCCCGATTTTTTTAAATATCCCGAAAATTTCACGAAAAAATGTGATTTCCACGATGTCATAGAGCAATGAAACAAAATTTCTTATCTTAAGCCAATATACTATGGCGCTCGCTCAGCCATAAAATGTCATAAACAAGGCCAGGGAGTTGTTATTTAAGTTGTTTATCAAAATAACAACTCAGGGCAAGGCAGGCCTAGATCCGTGGTAGAACCGCCTTGTTTATCCTCCATGCTACGATCTTTTGCATCCAGTGCCGACCGACCTCATTCAATGAGATGGATGTCAGTTGAGTAAATAAATTTCAACAAATAGTAACGAAATTAGAAATCACATGGGAATGGATGGGGCCCGAAGTTTTCGCCGCGAAGATTTGGAACAGAATCGGTGCATAAAAATTACTGTTTCTTTCAAGTAAGCTTCAGTTCTTTAATAACAATACTAAAAAAATTATAGTTAATAGGTTTTGGTACTAAGCAGTCTTCCGAAAAATGGAGTTTATTTTAATATCGATCCCGAAATACATGTAGGGCTTAGGCCTAGGCTCTATCTGCAACACTGCAGGGTATGTACTGTATGTGTGTTGTGTTGGGTGGGCGTGTGTGTAGTGGTGGTTGTGACTCTGCGGTATTTAGGCCTAGTTACGCACGTATAGATGGAGCCTTGCGAGGCAGGATTTAATGTTTTTTTCATGGCATTATGTACCAGTTCTTATAGGCTAGACATATATAAATGCTGACTTAAAACATGTAGTATGATTTAATAACTAAATTAAAATATATATATTTTTTTAAATTTTTCAGCAAACGTGTGAATCTTGCAAGTTGCAGTTACCTTGCTAGAATTCTATGTTCTTTGATGAGATGTAATAAATCAGCCATAGCCTCTAACATGCCAATGAACCAAGCAAAGCCTTGTTGACTGACTGCCAAGAACGCTTTACTAGCTAAATGCTAAATAAATAATAATATTTATAAATTTATATTTTAGGCCAACTGCAATGTGTAGACAAATGTAAAATTGTTAAATAAAAGTAAACAAATTGATGAAAATTGTTTGTTTTCTTCATTTTGTGTAATACTTTCATCTTGCACAGCGCGTTGTAAGGCGTCACAGCGCGTCGCTACAGGAGGCGATCGCTTCATGAAAAAAATCTCCCTATTTTTTGGTTTTCAAACTTGGGATCTCTGATATCCAGTCCCATTTAATGAAACTCCCATGTTTTTCTATTCACAGCAGCATTCGTTGTGCATTCAGCGCAGCTACGGCCCATTTTATAGATTGTACAACTCTGTCCTCAATACGTGTTAAATGTTACAAATGAAAGGGCTTTCCGAACTGTGCTACCATGGACCTATTAATAATAGGTTCATGGTGTTACTAAGTGTTAATGGGCGAAGACTTTTCTTTTTTATTGGAATGATGATACAATCGCTTATACAATGAAGATGAGTATTTGTCTCAAAAAAATTATTTATAACACCTTCGGATACCGTCAGATCCGCCTGCTTTATTACTTTTTTTAACAGTGAGGCAGCAGCGATTGCTTCATTACATTACACTTCTGAAAAACGTTTATCAAAGTAAAATATCAGTTCCAAGTCAAGTATATATATTTTTACAGTAGTTTTACCGTATTTTTCTAACTTTTTCTGTATTTTTATTTTCTTACTCATATGTAACAAGGAATACAATTCTCATGACATGAGAGAGTAGGAAAGGCAAACAGCTGGGTCAGTAGTTTCTCCAGGATCGCCAACAACGTATCTCATTTAACAATCATTCATTGTCAATTTCTATTACATTTAGAAAATCAGCTCAACTTGTTTCTATATGATTCTATGATTTATTCACAGTAGTAAAAAAAAATCTTTTCCCGAGTGGTAGATTAAAAACAAAAACAACCCCCACCCCGCCCCCGAAAAAAAAAAACGAAAACAAAAACAAACAAATTCGAATTCGGGGTACCTTCTGTTGTCTATGTAGACGCCATTTACTTTACCAAAATTAGGCAAATAGGGTCTTCGTTGGGTATTTGAATCAGGTTAGAAAACTATTAGAATTTATCCAATAATTGTTGGATTAAAACTGAGAATGGTATAGGCCTATCACACAAACGTTTTTGGCCAGACGGATCCGGATATATGGAATTCACTTCAATTGTATAAAATCGGTAAGACAATGTGAAATTGTAGTGTACCGTACCTTATGTTATGCCACAGCTTACATTTAGGAGTAGCTATATACGTACAAACAAAAATAATGGTTGTCTTCCAGTAACTGAAAGGTCCACTGATAAGCTCGGATATGATAATATAATACCTGAAATGCCACAATGAAATGCACTCCATCATGCACTCCAATACCGTTATATATTATACTATATTCCAGTAAGGTTCGTGGTGTTGCTGCCTTAAGCGACTGCACGACCTGCAAAGAATAAAATCAACAATTATAGTGATCCTTTTGTAATTCAGACATGATGTGAACAAAGATCACAATGAATATTGTGTTGAAAAATCGAAGGTTAAATGAATACATTGTTTATGTGAATAGCTAAAGCTTATAAAATTTGTGCGCCATTAACCTGAAGCAACTCATTTTGTACATAAGCCTATTAAGCGTAGGCATATTTTTTATTAAAATAAATAATCAATGTAACTATAGCAGTGACTGGCGTTGCTATGCGATAAGACACACAATTGGCAGGTAAGTTGGAAATATCGTGTTGTCCGAAAGCTCTGGTTCTATTTCTGGCTGTTTACTTACGTTTACTTTTTAGCTGTTGCTTATCATTTTTGTATCTCTACTGAGACTGTCTCTTATACACATCTAGATGTGTATAAGAGACAGTTGTAAGGCGTCACAGCGCGTCGCTACAGGAGGCGATCGCTTCATGAAAAAAATCTCCCTATTTTTTGGTTTTCAAACTTGGGATCTCTGTTAACAGTATGTTAAGTATCTGTACAAGTGTAGATCTAGTGTGCTAATATCTATTGCATCCGCATTGCTAGCAATACTGATCCTGTTTGAGCCATTAGCTTATCTTTCTGCCTGTATTTAATTAGAGCAATGTTTCGAGCAAGTAAATATTTTGCTTTCCATTAACATCAGTATCACTGCCAGTTTATTCTTTATTCGCAGGCTTTCCTGTCTCTATTTGTAAAAGTTTTGGTTGTGTAAATATTTGGTTGAAGTTTTATTGGTTATTGAGGACTAGCTTTTTTAAAATAGTATTTTTTAGTAATGTTTACTGAGATTGACAGTTCATTTTTCAGGTAATCATCTGTTATTCATCGCCATGCTATTTGTTAAGTCATGCTGCAAACTATTAGTGATGAAAACATGTGGATAACATAATCATTTCTTTTGACACAATGAACAAATACTACTACAAACTTTTGAATTCTAATAATTTCTACTTTTGGTAAAATAGAATTCTGAAAATACTATACGAAACTATATAATAGGCACCTTTATAGAGAAATCATGTTTTAAAGAACTGGCCCATGCCATCAAATATTTTGGGTCATTTCTGCTCTAGTGAGGACAAATTCATCCTCCTTCACAATACTGGTAACTCAGTTGTGAGTGCCTTCTTTAATGAGAGAGTCCAATTGTACACATTTAATTGGACAGTTTTTTCTTTATTTTGTTTGACTGAAATGCCAATAAAGTTGGATTGATTTATTGATTGATTGATTGGTTTAAAAGTTAGGAAATTAATTTTCTAGTAGTTGACTAACTCATTTTTAATCATTTAAATGTTTTAAATATAAGATGTAGGTGCCGGGATGGTTTTTATTATTTATTACACCACAAATTCAGTCTAGGAGGAGCATCTTCACATTGAGTAGAATATGAAATACAAATATAAAAGCAGATTCCTGGATTGTTTTTATTACCATATTTAATACAATATACTGTATTATAAGAACTTGCTATAACATTTATTAGCTCTAGCCTTTGTCTGCACAGTGGACTTCATCAGGAGACTACACATGTATTACAGTATACATAAAATAGAAACTGTCTTAATATACAATTTGGAGAATGAACTACATGATGAGGCTTAAAAACAGCTGTTATAAGCTTGGCATTACTTATTGGATATAAGCATGGGATTAAAATATTTAAATTATCATTTTAAGATTGTAGTTGTTGTTAGCTATGGTTGTTATTGTTGTTTTAATTTACAAATATAACACTTTTTTTTCTAGATAAAAATGCTATTTTTTTTAAAAATGTAAACAAATATGTTATTTACAGTGCACTATTTCTATGCTTTTGGTTTTTAAGGTTTCTAATATATGGTATGATGTGGTGTCATTAATATACGAATATCACCGATGTTTGAGGGCATAAGCATGTAAGAATCGTTAGCTGATCAGTCAAGTCACAAAGGCTTTATTTCATAGTGATTATTGATTTTTAATTTGAATTTTTCTCCATAGGAACAAATATGTGTCAAAAATATGTGATTAAAAATTGAAGACTAAGTTATTGCAGACCTTCGATATTTTCTGTGGGAATAAGAAATTGAACTTAGGGAGGTTTTCCATAAAAAGGGTTAAAAATGCAAAGCTTTCTAATTTTGTTAATCTAAAGGTGAATTGAGTGCATTATACAGTAAATGCTGTACAAGGTAAATTTCTAACATCAGATTATTAATAACAATTTTCCAACTGTATATTTTTGAGTTTCTTATGTTAGCTCAGTACACTGTACTAATTTAATTTTTATAAACATGATGATAGAGAAAAAACAGTTTTTTATGTGGGCCTCTTGTTCTTGACAAGATTGTACTTTTTCAAATAAATATTGTTTGAACTTGTTTGTTATTAATATTGTTGTTTGTGTTATTGTTTTTTTTTTAAATTAAATTTATGCTGCTATGGGTCATGTTCTATAAATATTAATAAAAGTAATCAAGAGTGTAAATTATAAGTTAAGAACAAATACAGGCTGGCGTATAGTTTGCATTGAAAATGTTGGTGAATATACCATCAATATCATTGCTGTTGTTTATGTTGCTCTTCTGGTGTTGACAAGCCAAAGAAACTATTTAATAACTTAATAAAAATTAATCTTGTTTATTGTACAATAGTTTATTCTAACAATGACTCCAAGGCCCATAATGCTAGGCCTGTCTACTGTTTTGTGATGTAGAATGTATTTAAAAACAATTAAAGCTATATATTTCAAGTGTCAAGACAACAAAATGTAGAGAAGCCATAGTTGAATCATATCTGTTGTCCATGAATAGAACATCAACAGGGGGCGTAGTTTGTTTTGATAATGACAATATAAAGAATTAGGAGTGATATTTTGCCCTACCTGACGTGTTATTTTACCGAATACTCAGTACGTCCCAAAATATGTCAGGTAGGGCAAAACATCACTCCTGTGATATTTTCCTGATGCGAATTCATATCTTTATAATATAAAGAATGTTCAATTTTTGTCAGGCACTGGCTGTGGTTTATCATAGATCATTTTTTAAAGATATAAGCTAAATATTGATACATCTGTTAAAAAATGCCACGCAGAGGACATGTTAACGTTGGCTGAGTGATTATCATTCATGTTGGCCAACCCCCTGCCTAGTGGTATTTTTTAATTATTCAAAATGATTAAGTTTGAGACACCAAGTCAACTGTATCATCTCTTTAATTACAGAACCGGGGCAAAAATCAAGACATGAATGTGATTCCTGCATGGGAACGAGGGTACACCGGTCGCGGAGTTGTTGTATCCATCCTCGATGATGGTCTAGAGAAGGACCACCCAGACCTTATGGCAAATTATGTAAGTTGCCAAACATTTACTATAATTATTTTTGTATACATTGATTTGATACATAATTAATTCATGATTTAAGTAAATATTATCTTAATAACTTGTGTGGATACTTCTAATGTTGATAGAGTAATTCCAAAATCTACAAGGGAATCTTGGGATGGGAGATATGGGACAATGGTAGCTTTAGGAAAAATTTAAGTGGGGCGAAGATAACATTCAGACAATTTCTAATGAAGAACAGTGTCTAGGCTAGAAGCCCTTGCATGACCCAGGTTCTAAGCCTTTTACTTACAAAAACTGGACAAATTTCAGCTGTTTTGAGACATTTTAAAACCTATTAAAAATAGTGGGAAAAAGTACTTTGTCTTTCAACAGTGGGCTTGAGCTGTTATGGTTCCTGCTGGGCCCCACTGGTATCAGAAAGAGATGACATTTCTTTCCTGAATATTAATTTGAATAGATGACTTGGTACATAGGAGGCATTATTGGTTTTTCAATGGAACTTTATTGTTACTGGTAGAATGATATGAATATAAAATTGTTCAGCAAAACCAAGTTTAATGGGTGTACCGTTAATAGTTTTGTTACTGCTAGTTGTCAGTGACTCCTCATTGTAAATGATGTTTTGCATGTAGGTTGTATTTGTAGAATTAGTATAATTCCCTCAAGTATAAACCGATACCACTTGATTCAATTGCTATTGATCACCCTCTGCTCAATATTGAATCCATAGTACATGCTAAACTTGGCAATATTATTATTATTATTAAAATTAGGTGCTACCAAGTGACCATGGAGCCATGTCATAGCTCCATGTACTTTGGCCTACCAGTGCTATCAAACAACATTCTATGTACTGTACTGCATGCTGTTGGTTAAACCCTTCCCCTCCCCCTCTCCCAGTGTGTAGAAATGAATCATAAATTTGCCCTTAGCTGCATAATTTTTACTCAATCAGTTAGTCAGCTTTAATTACTGTAGCTAAATAATAACATTGTTGATCTCATACCCTTGGCTTATTATTATTTAATAGTAATGCTTCCTTCTACAATTATTTCATTCTAACACTTGAAAACTAAAGTACATTCTGTCACATAGGCACTTATCATTCATTGACAATGTTAGTGTTTTACTCTTATTTATTTATTTATTTATTTATTTATTTATTTATTGCTGCGAAGCAGCCAATTCATATTCTTGACAGCAATTTGACCTCTGAAAGGTCATTGTTTGTCAAAAAACAACAGCCTAAGATGACTGAAAAGCGGAGTTTCCTTCTTTCGTTCTGCCGGGTAAAACACCACCCACTCTTAGTTTTCTATGGCTACAACCCTTGACAGTGACAAACATTTCAGCTTCAAATTATATTATTACAAAGCATATCTAAAGCGCCTTTACAAGAGATCAAAGCGCTGTACATTTAAACTCAATTAATCTACAATACTGCAGTACAATGAAGAATCAATAAATTGAAATGGCACTACTATACATTATTAAAGTATACAGTATAATACTGCTAATATGAGGAAGCTACAGGTACCATGTTTTTTAATTTAAAGTCTTAATTTCTCATATAATAATTTTGGTATGATATTTTATGCTTATTAATGTAGCATAGAGGTATTATTAAGCTGTTTTTAACATACAGGAGAATGATGATGAGGCTTAGGAAAGGGAGTCCCAAGATTTAATTTTTTGGGGAGAGTCTTAGGGAATGGATTCAGTCAAAGAAATAAACATTTCTTAAAGCAGTTGAGAAAATACAGTAATCACTTTTTGGTCGGTGCACTCACTGCAGGCAGGTAAAATTGTGTGATGATTTCATATTTAGGCTAGGCTACAATCTAGGCCTAATTTTGTTCCTTGAGTCTTTAAGATAAGTCTAGAATATTTCTATTAAATGCTGTTTCTTTAGTTTATTAGGGTCCATTAATTTAAAAAATTCCTTAATTTTTTATACTTTATTGATTTTGAAGTAACTTCCTTCAGGTTCTAATCAACCTTGTTGTATGAAAGTAGTTTTTCTATTGCCACTTTTCAAAAAATTATAAAAGACAGCACTCTGAGACTAACTTTGATGTAATTTATTCAACACAAGCTTTCGCTGGCAGTCAATGCCAGCTTCATCAGGTGTGCCAGCGAAAGCTTGTGTTGAATAAATTACATCAAAGTTAGTCTCACCTCAGAGTGCTGCCTTTTATAATCTGTGTATATTGTTTAGACTAACACGGCTTCATTACAACATTGATCACTTTTCAACAAACAATGATTGGGCGAGTATCTGCCCTCTCTTTCCGCAGGTATGCATCTTAGTCCTAGTGTAAAATCACTAGCCGATAATTCATCGCGGTGCGCAATATGAAAAATGTTGAATTGGTCATTTGCACACAAACCTAAAAAAGATCAAGTCAAGTGTGCATATGAAAAAATATTGCACTCTGGGGAATAACATTGGGAGTTGCAGTGATGACATCACGATTGACTTACAAAGAACATTAATGAAAAGCGCTTATAAAGTCAAGGAAAGAAGAATAACATTTGTTGTTTATGTAATATTAGGAGGCAAAGACATCATAACATGGCTCTTGGTATGGTAAAAATTATTATTAGTATGCTAGCTTTTCTAGGAAGGTGAACTAATTTGATGTTATTTCATCAATCAAGAGAATATAAAACATTCTTTTCTGTGACCCCTTTCTCCCCAAAAGATACATGAAAATAATAATTGATAAAGAAGAATAACATTTGTTGTTTATGTAATATTAGGAGGCAAAGACATCATAACATGGCTCTTGGTGTGGTAAAAATTGTTATTAGTATGCTAGCTTTTCTAGGAAGGTGAACTAATTTGATGTTATTTCATCAATCAAGAGAATATAAAACATTCTTTTCTGTGACCCCTTCCTCCCCAAAAGATACATAAAAATAATAATTGGTAAACTTTTAACACATATTAAGCCCTCTATGCACTTTACATTGTCATTACCCCAGTCATTAGAGAGTATTCCATAACGTTGCAGTAGCAGCTGCTAATCAGAGCATTTTGGCATGCAACCCTACCAGGTACATTTATACAGTATTCCTCAGTGGCAAATGAGAAGCAATGCAGATAAAGCGCTTTGCTCAAGAACACAAGTGAAATGCACAGCGAGAGATTGAAACCCCGACCTCAAGGTTGTGAAACCAAACCATTCCCACTGCGCCAAACCACTTCTAAATGATGATTGTCATTTTAAGATCATAATTTTTTTAGTATCTATAACAATGTCAACCTTCCTCTTTCATTTACCGTGCCAAAGAAGAAAACAGTTGTATAAAATAACACCAGAGGTCTAAAATGTACAAAACTGTTAGCAAAATAAAGAAAGAATACACTATATACAATTAAATTATATGATATATACAGTCAAATTGAAAGTGAATAGTTGTATATTCGATAGTTTGATTTTGTTTTCATTAATTCATAGAACAGACTTCCATTATGCCTGTTGTGGTTTAAAAAACTCTCATTTTACAGTTAAACCAATTAATATCCTCACCAGTATCCTGAGTCTGCACGATTACATTTGATGATATCCGAAACGAAAACCTAAATGTCACGTAGAAAGATTCAGATCCAAGAAACATCACCATTAGAGTTGTAAAATAAAACATTCAATACATTTGCTGACAAATGAGTTGACGTTTCAAAAGATCCCCATCTCAGTGCTGATAAATAATCTTTCACTTAGCATGTCGTTGATTCCTTTGATTCATCTGCACTACCACAATATCATTGGCTTTTGATTAGACACTGTCAATCCATGATCAAACTGGTCATATCGTTTCACCTAAGGTAAATGTTTAGATCAAGTGTTTCATGATTTATTTCTTTGTAGGTGTATATCAAATGTCGTGTCATAAAAGCTATATTGGAATGTTTTTTAGTTCCAACTTCGTCGTAATAGCAGAGAAATTTAACACTTGGAAATAATGTTTTACCGGATGAGACATTTATTTCAAACCTGTTCCCATAAATTAGTCACCTGAAGAAAGCAACCACCTCAACTGAAGAAACCAACCATCACACCTCACAAAAGAAATCATCTCACCTGAAGAAAGCAAACATCTTAAATTCTTTATTTCTCCAAATGATACAATATAAAGTAGAAACAATAATATTAAGGGCAAGTAGGGACCTAAATGAGCAAAAGCTTTTGATTATTAGGCCCCATTTCACCTGAAGAAAGCAACCATCTCACCTGAGGCTGAAGAAAGTAATTCACACGTGGAACATTTACATCTTACCTGAGGAAAACAACCACCTCAATTGACACAACCATCTCACCTGAAGAAAGTAACTATCTCACCTGAAAAAAGCAACTCACCTGTGGAACACATCTTACCTGAGAAAACAACCATCTCACTTGACACAACCATCTCACTTGACACAACCATCTCATCTGAAGAAAGCAACCATTTCATCTGAAGAAAGCAACTCACCTGTGTGAAACACTTACATCTTACCTGAGGAAAACAAACACTTCATTAGACACAAACATCTCACCCGAAGAAAGTAACTATCTCACCTGAAAAAAGCAACATCTCACCTGAAGAAAGCAACTCACCTGTAGAACATTTACATCTTACCCGAGGAAAACAACCATCTCACTTGGCACAACTATCTCACCTGAAGAAAGCAATCATTTCACCTGAAGAAAGCAACTCACCTGTGAAACACTTCCAACTTACTTGAGGAACACTTCCATCTCACTTTAAGAAAGCCACTTGCACGTTGAGGAACACAGTGCCAGAACTTACTTGATCCCAGTGGGTTAGTGACTCACCAGACAATTCTTATTCAGGAAGTGATCATGTTGTCTAGCATTTAGACAGGAAGCGTGTGTGGTAGGTTGCGAGATACAACAAAAAGGGAAATGAAATTAATATTAAAATCATAATTTTTTAATAGATTTTTATTACCTTATCACATATGGTTACCATGGTCATTTTATTGAATTTTGACATCCATTGAAGGATACAATTTGTTATAGTTAAACACCAAAGGGTTGCAAGATGGACAAAATCCACATCCTCTAGATCTGTTTAAATGAGGTTTCTTAACACCTAACTATATTTGGCTGTGTATGGTGATACAGTAGAACCTCGATTTTACGTACGGTACGGGACCAGAGGGCGTACGTAAATCGGGGGATTCGTAAAATAGAGGTT